GCTAAAAGGAATGATCCCCCCGTACCTTAAATGAATTGAAAATTGCTGCGCGCGAAATATGGGAAGCCATTCCTCAACATCTTCTGTACAACTTAATTGAGAGCATGCCACGTCGTCTCACAGCTCGCATTGAGGCTCGAGGAGGAAATACAGACTATTAGTTGTGAGAAATAATTAAAGTTGTTTTCAATATTTTCTGTTTAAAATGAAATTTGTTTTTATTGATTTTCTCAGAGATCTTATCCGATAGTCAAGCAGCACTAAAAGTGACCAACTCCAATTCATAGTTGATCAAAGAATGCCTAGTGGAGCTGAACAAATTGGTCAAGAAAATAAAGTCCTCCTTCTTTGGCTGCCAGCTCACCAAGGGATAGAAGGCAATGAAAAAGCAAACGATCTAGCTAGAAAAGGAGCGAACACTTCACTAACTGGAGCAGAACCGTTCTGTTTTCCAAGTGAAAACCAACTTAAAGCGGAATTGCAGAACCTAGAAGATTCTATCCTTAACCTGGAATGGGCATCTTCCAACGTTCAGAACTAGAAGAAACAACACTCGAAGAAATGTCTTAGTACTTATGACCGAGAAAAAACGAAGATTTTCCTTGATTTAGTAAGAAAGATCTTACTGTGAGCCATCACGGTCTTTCTGCCGAGGAGCAAGGGGAAAGACACCACCTACCTACTGAGCCTTATCCAGGGTCACAACTTCAATGTAAGGACATCGAGTTGGCGAGTCGTCAACTCGAGGGAGGAGGGTCATGGTCAGGTCCTCACAATAGGAATTGACCTCAAATCCAAGGAGGCAATAGAGAAAGAGGGACATATCCCCTATTATAGATACGGGACAACACCGGTATCAGGTCTAAGGAGAGACCAAGTTAAAGAGGTGGAAGAAAATGGAGACAGATCCTCAAGCCTCCATCTCACGGGTTCCTCAGCCGGAGGCAAGCTCCTCGACTGTGAAGGGCGGCACGGAGGGCCAAACTCCAACCGTGGAAGGGTGTGTACCCTCGGAGGAAGAACTGTTGTCAGAGGAGTGATGGAAATACCCCTGTCCCCTACAACAGGGTGGGTATGATGTTATAGACTGTGTGATGACTCAAGGAAGGGGGGCACAATAGATCTTTAAGGTCGCAGTGATTAACCCCCCCCCCTCTTACTCATTCTAAATTCTACAAGAACAATCTTCGTCTCCTCAACAAAAATGGGGAAACATCAGAACACCCATCCCTGAGTGCGCCGAGACGACAACCTTCGTCCATATACTTTGGTATATGTTCGTGCCATAAACTTTGGTATGACTGATATCGGAGATGGAGAACAACTCTGTGTGAAGCCGTCTCAGATAGTCGCTTTTGTCAAAGCCCTGAGACTGTATAATGAGTTATAACTTGTTATCACTCAAGAAAGGGAGACATATAATAGATATGTAAGGTCGCGGTGATTAACCGCCCTCCCATTACTCTCTGTTTCTTTATAAGTAAAAAATTGTAAAATATTGTTTCTGTCATCTTTGGTTGCTTTAATAAAAGCTATTATTTCGAGACACATTGTACAATATCATTCTATTAATTTTTGTATATAATAATTAACTATTTTTTCGTGGTTCGCTATGATTTCTCTAATCGGAAATGCGATCTCTTTTCTGGTTCGACTAATCATTGATAATCTATGGACTTGACGTTAGATGCTCCAAGGTACACCAGTATAATTAACCCGAATAGCCTAGTAATTAGTCTAAATTCATTTAAACGACTTTAAAGCGTTAAAGTTATGCACGCCTTTTAAATAACCATTAATAAAGATATATTATGAAAGAATTTATTCAAAGCATTAGTAAAATACTCTCGTGCATATAAAAAACTTAATATGACTTTGAATATATATTCTAAGTCTCACAATCGTATTTCATAGTTTTTTTTTAATAATTTAAGTTGCAGACGATAATTTTAGTTTTAGATAAAGAAGTTGCGTTATCTCACCTAAAATTCAATTTAGTGTTCTTTTGCACCACTTGCCAGTAAACTGGTTATATTTTCACCACAATAAGTAATTAATTAATTAAATGAATAGTGTGAATAAAAATTCAAATGAAGAAGTATATCAATAAAATAAGCGAACTTTGTTTTAGACAAATATGTTTTCAAAACATATCTTTTATTAAATAGGTTAGATTTGGGTGTGAATAATTGGCTGCCTTAGAATAAATAACGGAAATTATTAAATATGTTGTTGAATTTTCAAATTTAGAGATAATGTCAAGTGCTGCTTATACTATAATTGTTATAGCATTATTAAACTTGAGCGTAACGCGATACTGCCATACAGATCAAACATTATTTGTACAAAATAATTGGTACTTAAAAATCTGTAAGAATTTAATTTGAAAAGCAATTACATTAAGTCAAATATTCCAAAAACTATAGCAAGTACGAAAATGCTTAAATTAGGGCAAAGTTGTGCAGTAATGTAACTAATAATATGCTGTTACAGAAACTTTTAAAATTCCCAGTCGTTCCGGAGATATTCCAGAAAAAAAAAACGAAAATTAAAAAATTTGGATTTTATTTTTTTTTCTGACGTTATTTGACAAGACCATTTTCATTACCACTTTTTTCCAGCTACACAACAGTGTTTTCAGACTTGTCATCAACGTTCTTCTTTTGAACACCATTACAATTTTTACAAATTATTGATTTTTGAAGGAATGTTAAAATTTTATTACAAATTTGACAGAAATAGTGCAAGAACATCAGAAATATAATTACACACGTATCCAGATAAATAACCACACAGTACATTATTGGAAAAGCTGGACGGACATTTAGTTTGTGCTTTTTAAAAACTAAGGAAGATACATGGAAACTAGAATATACATAATAGTAGATAATCAGCGGCGTCTGGCGTCTGGCGCCTGGTGCCTACGTCTCGCGTCTGGCGTCTGGCGTCTACGTCTCCCGTCTGGTTTCTTGCGTCTGGCCACTGGTTTCTGGCGTCTGGAGTCTCGCGTCTCGCGTCTGTTGTCTGGCGTCTGGCGTCTACGTCTGGCGTCCGTCGTCTTGCGTATGGCCTCTGCCTTCTGGCGCCTGGAATGTCGCGTTTCGCCTCCGGCGCCTAGCGTCTGGCGTCTGGCGCCTTCGTCTGGCGCCTACGTCTGGCGTCTACGTCCCACGTCTAGCGTCTGGCGTCTACGTCTCGCATCCGGCGCCCGGCGCCCGTCGTCTGGAATCCGGCGTCCGTCGTATGGAGTCTGGTGTCTGGCGTCTGGCGTCTGGCGTCCGGCGTCCGGCATCGGGTGTCTGTCGTCTCGCGTCTGGGGTCTCGCGTCTGGCGTCTTGCGTCTTGCGCTTTGCGTCTGGCGTCTGGCGTCTGGCGTCTCGCGTCTCGCGTCTTGCGTCTCGCGTCTTTTTTTTTCTTTTCATTGTAGGCAATTTATTCAAACTAGGTTTATTTGAACACAAATGATGAGTACCCTCATTGTACTAAATGATGATGTTCTTAGTCCCACGTTTATGAAAAAAAATCTTATAAATAATAAAATGTTGGAGCTGTGTTCCATCTAAGAAATAATAATTTATAGTATGAAAACGGTGTAAGTATTAAATAAATCCCTGTGATAAAAAAGAATTGAAATAACATTAGAACATGATTCCTACAATATAAGCCTAATATAAGATAAATATGTTTTTCTTTAATGAAAAAGAAACATTAATGTTATATTTAATTAAAAAAAAAACTTAAGATGCTATAAATTTACTTTAGGACATCAAAATGCATAGATCGTAACTACTCTGATTCAGAAGAATCACTGCTGACAGAATCTTCCAAATTTATAGTATCCAAATCACAGGTAGATGAAGTATCCTCACATATAAGATATTTCTGTACATCATTTTCTAATAAGTTAATTTTTCGCGTTGTTACTGTTCTTCTTGCTGGCATGAGGGGTTCGGATATTAATAGTTACCTCTTTAATAGACCATATCCATATATTATTTTTTCCTTTTCTTGGGTATGAGGTTTTATAATAAATTGAAAGTTGGAAAATTTTTATGCGACGTTTCGCTCCAACATAGTGGGCTTTTTCAGGCACAAGTGTCTCATTTGACTGGAAGGTTCATCAATATCTAATAAAGAACACATTTTTTGAAATACAAATAATTTTGAGTTCTTGTCCTTGTGATCAAGCCAAGTATTAACCAGATCGGCATTGCTTATCAATTTTCCTCCATCTGAAAAGTATTATAAAATAAAGTTCGTCGCAAGCAGACGCAGGTGAACTATACAAAAATTAAAAGTGTATGAATATGACAACACATATATTCAATAAATACGATATGTTTTGATATGTTTTTTATATGCCTTTTGAAGTTTGAAAACGTAAAATTTTTATACCCATTTAAGAATCATCTTAAAAAATAAATAAAAACTAAACAATCACGAACTTGTTTAGAAATAAATTTAAAGTACATACCTTGTTTAACAATATCCATAGTGGCTTTCAATTAAGTACGTACCGTTTAACTCTATAATATACAGAACTACTATGAAATGTTATTATTTTCACTGATAAGATAATGGTAGCAAAATTTATTTTTAGTGAAAATATTTGCTAACAAAAAACGCTCTTTATGAAAAATAATATACAGGATGGTTGAACATTGCTATAAGTATAAAATTACATATCCAGATATTAGTAAATTTTAACTTATTTTTCGATTTTTGTCCATGGGACGAAGCACTGTGCGGCGTCTGGCCGGGAAGACAACGGAAAGACAACTGGAAGTCTAGGGGAAGACAACGGGAGGAATATCTCTTCCCGTTGTCGGAAGTAAATAAACACAAAGAACAAAGAAAAAACTATTTAAAATATCTAAATGCAACTATTTGAGAACACTTTAGTTTTTTTAAACATTATTGAAAGTTATTAAAATTTAAATATTATATAATTTCTGTGCACTTATATTACTGTATTTTAATACGTATTTTTATTGTTTTAGGTATGAAGAAATTACGGTTCCATGAGGAATTTTCAGTTGACAGCTTTGCGTGATAGAATAAGTAAGTTTTTCATTTATGTTGACATTTTTATGTAATTTATTTTGTTAATTTTTTTTGCTTCAATTGAGTTTTAACACTTTTCTTGCAGTAATTGAGTGAATATTCTTAATTTTTCAATATCTGTAAATTTTAAACGTACAATATTATGAGTATCACCACTCCTATTTTAATACGTTTTTTTTGACAGCCGTATATTTTCAAATTATATTCTTATCCTCTTAGGATAAGAATATAAATCTGCATACTACATAAATATACATAATATCGCCTTTACTGCGATTGAATGTAAGTCTCCATATATAACCAATTGTTATCTGATTCTGTGTTACACTGACTACTAAAAATAATTTATAACACATTCAAATAAACATATGTTACTTTAATTACAAACAAATGGTAAAAATTATGCCAATGCCACTAATATGGCTTCATAGAATACTTTCTACCGGCACCTAGCTATGCTTATCGGTGCTCTAATTTTTAAATTTACTACAACTAGCGTAACAAGGGAGACAGATTAAGAGATTATTATCATAAATATATCAGCATTGTGGGTGAAGAAAATGTGCTTTACGCTACCATTATTGCCCATGCATGGATGAAAACCGCGCCTTTTCATTTTACTACGTATAACGTAATAAGTGTAATAAATACATTAAATTTTTATTAATGTTTAGACTGGTGTAGCTATTGTCCACGTATAGTTTAAATGTTTTTGTGTTCGGTCTGAACCAATTCTACAATTCTGCGTCTCTACTTGGTTGACGTGTATTAAGTTAGCACACCCAGTGGCAGCTCGTGACCCGTGTGACTGGGTAGGCGACAAAATTTTAGTTGCGTCTATTTGCCCCCCTAATTTACATAATACCCTAGCCCAGTTTGTAAATACATATTATCTCTGGGTTTTTATTTTTATCTATTACTATGGATTCACTATCGAGTACATAATAGAATTTTATTTTATTTTTATTTGTTTACGCAAACTTAAAAATTGGTAGTATTGAGAGAAAGAATAATTATGTATTATATGATAAATTGATGAGTCGGTCTCTTAATAAAGAAAAGTTATTTATTATATCAGTAAAATCATCAGACTGTTGAAGAGCTGTGAAAAAATCTTTTTAGATTGAAAGTAAGGCAAGTGGCGATAAACGTTTATTTTTCATGGAATCTCATCTCATATTTTCATGGAACTATAAATTTTAATGCATTTCAAACATGAAAAATGTCTCTCAACCCAAGTACTTCTAAAAGGTGTAGTAACAAACAAAACAAACAATTTGAAAGCCTCTGGAAATAATATTTCCAGGATTATTCTTAAATTATTTTATAATAAAAATTATTATATCTATTATTAATACCTGCATTTTATTCATTAATTTATGTTGGTCAATAACATTTTTTGTTTCTTAAATCACTATTAAATGCGTTGGAAAACTAATAAAAATAACTAACTAATTTGTATCTGCATCAGAGAGCGACCGTGCGTGTTCACAACGAAACCTCCCAAGAATTTACAGTGAGTCGGGGAGTGCGTCAGGGATGCATACTGTCACCAATTCTGTTTAATACTCAGTGAAACAGAAGAAGGAATAAAGATCAATGGAGAAACCGTCAATAATTTAAGGTACGCGGACGATACAGTTCTCATAGCAGATAGTGCTGAGGGATAGCAGAAATTAATAGACCGAGTAGTAGAGGCATATGTATGGTATGAGGCTTAACTGCAAGAAGACCAAAATTCTAATAGTTAATAAAAATGATGAGGCGCAGTACCACCAGTTTAGGGCGAATAACGAAACCTTGGAAACAGCAGATATACAATCACGTATTTGGGCTGCAGCTTGAACAAGGAATGGGATCACTCAAGAGAGATCAGATGCCGTATAGAAAAAGCTAGAACCGTTTTTAATCGTCTTAGAAAAATCCTATGCAATATGCACCTGAATATTGCTATAAGAACACAGGTCCTAAGGTGCGTATTCTCCACGCTCCTATATGGGGTGAAAGCTTAGATCCATGCTACATCTAGACGCTTGGAAGCCTTTGAAATGTGGTGATATCGCCGCATGCTCAGGATTTCATACACTTACCATGTCACAAACAACAGCGTGATCCAGAGAATGCAAAAGGAACTAGAAATAGTTCATAGTGAAAGTGAGAAAAATGACGCGGGCCTTTTAAAAATGACGCCGCCATTTATCATGCGTAATGATAAATACCAACTTATCCAACTGATACTGCAGGGCAAAATAGATAGTTGAAGAGGTCAGGGATGCCGACGAACATCATGGCTGAAAAATATTAGACAGTGGACGGGAATGACGACCGTACATCTATTCAGGGCGGCTGTCAATAGGATTATGTGGACCAAAATGATTGCCAACATCCATAGAGGATAGGCACTGAAAGAAGAAGGAGAAGATAGAGGTGGACTACTTTTTAAAGACACCCGGTATAGTCACCAGAGTAATACAATTTATGTCCAAAATGTATCATATCAGAAATTGGAAATTCATATAGCAAAAATCAAATTATTCGATATATCATTACAACAATAAACCATTTTGATTTCTTATAAACCCGACCCTAGTTAATACACGTAACAAGACAGTATATGATAATGATACGTATCTGCGTTGTGGGTGAAGTGATAGTGGCCATTCCGTTCACATTAAGCCACAATAAGACAACTGAATTAATAGCCTGATCGATTATGAAACCAAATGTAGTTGTTTATGGTCAAATAAAAAATGTTTGCGGTGATATTTAGGCACAATTGTTATTATCCGCCTGTCGCTGCCTGTTAATAGTGGAGTCAGTGGTGTCCATGATTGTCTGGCGGTTTCAGAAATAAATTTGTTACGCACTGTTAGGTTTCTGTAGGGTGGTCTGACAGGCTGAAGTATTTATTTGTGCGTTATTGCCGATTTTTGTTAATTATGAAATGAAATGCGTATTTATATAGTCTCGGTTTTTCTTTGCAGAATGATATAGCTAAGCTTGCAGTTGTCTCAGTATAATGCTTTATAAACTTGACTTATAATTCGACATGTTTGTCGTTTGTAAGTCGACATGTCGATTTATTGACATTTGTAAATTATGAATATTGAGGTATATTTAGCATTTGTTGATTTAACGTTCACTGACAAAAAATGTGAAAATTTGAGAACTGTGAAAATTTACATGTAGTTAACATTCAATTTAACTAGTGTATTGGAGAAGTGGCATGAAAGAGACAAGTTTTGAAAGAGCCGTTATCATTTCCGCGGTAGTTTTTGAATGTATCGTGCAGGCAGGGACGCGCCGTCCATATGGGCGAGTTCGTGCGGCGCACGACGGCGCCAAAGCCCTAAAGTCGCCTTATCAACAATTAACATAAAATTTAAATAATACTTTTATCTATGAACGCCAGTGGTGAAAATATATTGTCCACCAATGTCGAGCGCCGCACAGTGATGCAGAAGTTCTCAATAGCGGCAGAAATTCAAAATATCAGAAGTATTTTTTTTAATTATAATTTTACTCGTATAGTTCCTAACAGTCCATATTTTCAGAATCGTGAAGATTTTTGGATAAAAACGGGCCAATTATTAATCCCTGATAAGAAATGTTCGAGCTTATAAGATTATTAGCTGAAGCTAAAATATTTTGATTAAATAAAATTAGTACGTTTAAAGTTGATGATAAATTAGCTAAAACCTGATGGTACTCTGAGAAAGTACAATGTTTTCGACTGTTTTTCCTCATGGTAATTCATGGTTTTAACTTCCCTGGTACCATAAAAAAAATCAATAAAGACCTTGATGTAATTAAGAACTGCATAATCTAAAATCACATTTTATGTAAGCTAAATACAAAATGCTCCAAATTGCTCCAAAAAAATATGATGTAGGTTACAATTATTAGCCTTTTTTCTTCATAGCTACGAAGTTTCATGGCTTAAGTTTCATAACCCACAAATACACTTTAGGTTGCCTAACTCTCTCGAAAACCATGATTTAGTTTCCCGAAATAAATTACGTATGACAGTATATTACTGGGTGTTTCTTAGGTGCTGTAAAATATTGTTGTTGGTTATTTTTAATTAGTTTTAGAAAGGAAACTGATATATATTTTCTCTTATTCAATTTAATTTTCCATATACAAAGTATTCAAATTTAAAAATAATTTTTAATGTGTAATTTTAACTAGCTTTTCCCAGTTAAGCCTAAGTTTTTATTCGTTTTGTGCTTATATGACATTAAATTTAATATTATGAGAAATCTCATTAATTTTGAATAATTATTGTCAATATAAACTACAAAGACGTGTCAATGTGTCTATAATGCGTCAATATTCAGTCAACAACTTTTATCAAGAATGCCATGCACCTTCTAGATACTAATTTTCTCGGATATAGTAAGAGATCGCCAATACTTCTCCTGTCAAGTAAAATAAAACAGCATCCTGAGGCTCCAAAACTTATTATAGATTAAATTGTTCTATTTTTTTATCCATTTGCTAAATCCATTTTAAATATATTATCCATTTTATCTAGAAGCTTTAGGATAATTTTTAGTTTCTTTTTCTTACGTATTAAATTCTTGTAACTAAGTTCTAATTATAATCTAAGTATAATATTTTTACCACCGGTAATTACAGATATTTCTAAAATATAGAACCTTTAAAAATATAACTAAAATTAAATGGTTGTAAATGAGCAACTGCTTACACCTTATGCGAAAAGAGCGCTTTTAGAGTCTTTTAGATGTTTTGGTGTTACTTTCATTAATAGCTAACTACATAAAATATACATATGTATTTAGCTTCTTTTTTTTCTCATGGATGAATGTAAATATCTTTTTTAAGTTGAATTTAAATAATACTTATTGGTAACTAGTTCTGAAAAAATGGATTAATTATATTAAAAACGAAATGCTAATTCTATTGTAAGGGGCTGAAAATAAAACCCTGTATATTTATTTATGTGTTTACACAATTTTTTTTTGATTTTTTAA